TTCTAATCAGGGTTTTATAAGAACCGTGGGCCCCATAATACGTCGGTTTAATCTGATCAAGACCTGTTGTATTGAATGAATTTGACCTTTTTCTGGAAGACTGTGTTCTTAACCTGCCTACTTAACGATAGTGGACACTTAAATGGGTCTACGCAGGACCGACCAATGTATATAAGGGAATGCGACAATTTCAAGTGTGGTTCTAAATTCAAATCATGTATCATCAATAGACGAGTTCACACCTGATTTGTCTACTGATGATACATGTTCTTCTATTGCTGTTCGGTTCGCCTGCTAGACGTTTAAGTGGAGCTAAACAAAGTTGTACACCGTATCAAAAACTGAGCTCTAAGGAAATCACTTTAGGGTTTCCGTGCATTAACGGAGGGAAAATATTTACCTTGGGTGTGTCATCCATCTCATAAACTAGCACAAGATACAGCAAAGAAGAGCCTTGACTAAAACTAACAAATATGGCACCGTACACATTCTGTATGCAAGAATGTTTCATAATATAGAAGAATAATCTACTATCAACTGTATTAAGTGTTCATATTGACAATATTTCAACCCAGTTTACACTGCATGCGTTAAAATCTCATAATGTGAGACCGGTTGTTTCTCCTCCAATCGTCGATACATTTTAGTATGAAGTCGTCTGACTGACAGGTTTGTCTGCAATAAATTATCCTTTAAACTACCTATATCCAGAGTAAAATCCTATGGTAATCTTGAGAGTTAGCCAGTCAAAGAGCAATTTATTGCAGCCAGATTTGAAATTTTGTGAAAGCTCAAGGTTTTCATAACAGTATGAAAGAAAATAACTCAGTATCCTTCTTTCGAAAGTTGAATTTTCTTGGAAATGGTGATATTTCTTGGCATTACTAATATTGGTCACCACTGCTACCTACACTACTATTATTAGCTCATGTATATTTATACACTCAATAAATGTAACTTCACTCACATAATATCAGTGTCACGTTTAGCTGAAACCGATAGATTTTGATCAGATTGATTTAAGTATTTAAACAGTTTGGATATTTTAGATATTAAATTTGTCTTAGGTTGGAAGCAGTTGATGAGAATCGTCGAAATAAAAGGCACCCATACTTTGATGCTGAAACGTTTGTCTTCACTCTACTTAAATTTATTAAGGAAAAGGATCATGTAAAATAGATAATAGTAGTCGAATCTCATTTTTAAGTTTTTAGTTAGTTCTTAAATTTTTTGTGTAAACCATGAGTTGTAGCAACGCTTCTATCTGAATAACAGTATCCTGAGATATAGATATTCTACCCTTTTCAGTTTTACTATCAGAATAATTGAAAAAGTGTTTTTACTTCAGATTGGCATTGCTTAGGCAGTAACTTGACAAAAATAAGCCACTGCATGATTCAACTAAGGAAGTTTAAATCTCCAGGTGAACATGTTACACTTAAAATCCCAAGTTGGATTTAGCTGTCCACATTTGTTTTACTTTACATTTAATTCATTTTAGATGATACAAATTTGCTTTATTCTAACTCAAGAGTATTAATTTTTTTAAACCTTAAAATATTTGTCCGTAGATAGAGTGGATAATTTACACTTCTGAAAGTTCTTTAAATAGTTATATAACTTAAAAAAAACATCAGATTATGTTGATATGTGATAATAAAGATCTTTTCTGAAATTAGGTATATAGTTTATCATACTGTAGTTCTTTGCGTCAGTATGCACGATAAATGTCATGAAATGTTTATTTATACTGCGTGATGATTGAGTGTGGAATGAAAATTTGGATCGCCACCGGATTCGAACCAGTGACCACTGGGTTTCTTGCCCACTGAGCTACGAGGTCCGTTTACTGACCAGATTATTATTTCACTTAAATCACCATAGGTTTATTGGAATATTGTACTGCTGAGGAATCCTAAACTGGGACGAAACAGCTGTCCAATGGTCTCATGTTTTAGCGGTTCTCCAACTGATTTCAGAACATGATGAATAATATCTAAAATATAGAGAGAATAGTAACGGAATTTTAAAGTGCCTATGCCGAAATATCTATGAATGCTATAAATTTACTTTTTTATGATCACTCAGAATTATTTTACTTACTGTGAATGCAAATGAAGAAGAAATCCAATTGGTTTTACTACATTTTCAAAACCCGTTACACTGGAGCTTGATATAACAAATGAAAATGCCTTCATGATAGTATTCATCTTAGTTTGAACGCTATTCTCAGTAACATGTTTTGTGTAATACACGTCTTTTTTATAATGGATACTTCTGGTTTTTTGCTGACGATTATTCTGAACCGAAGTGATCAATCCTCGAAAGGATTCTTCAACATTGACTCGAGTTTCAGGGATCAATAAATAACAAATGATGCCGTTTGTACCAGAAGTGACTCTAATGAGTTATTAGCCTAGGGAATACTGGTGTGACTTCTGAACTGAAAGGTGTTGAAATTGAGTCTGGATAGAAACGTTTTCACTTACTGGTATGTAAATTTATCCAGCTAGTGTGTCCCATATAGAAAAAAACTCATTTTTTGGTTTTAAATGGTCATCTAATCAACATATTTTCCAAGAATAGATCTGTAATAAACAAATATATGACTCATTATCCTGCAGTGTTTGAAGTAAAGGATACACATACTAGGATAAGACAACTGTCCACCACCCCAGGTTTCCAGTGGTTCTCCAACTGATGTCAGTCCATGATGAATACTACCTCAAAATTGTATTGATTGGTCATGGGAGAGCAATCAACTTCATTTTATCTAGTCCTGAGTCCAGACCATATCCTATTGATCACATCTGAAATTGGTGCTCAGTGACGTCGAGCCTCCTAGCCTGGTGGCCACATTGCAAATATAATCGGTAGGATTCTGTCTGAAGTCAGGACTAGACAACATGAAGTTAGTTCCTATCCCATGACCAATCAATACTTGTAACTCAGTCCTACAGGAGGACAGTCGCGGTCCGAATAGCTCAGTGGTAAAGCCGCTGACTATAACATTGTGTGACGCGTCTTCATCGAGGTTGCAGACATACCCTGCTGATGAGTGTCAACACGCACGAAACCGAGGTCCAGGGCTTCCTGGTGGTCGCCTGAAACCAACTAATACCTTGAGAATAAAACCTCTTTTCACCTCAAAGTATGTTATTACGAAATTATGAATTTAACTTCTACCCTATGGTCTGTTTCTAAATTTTGATTGACAAATATGCTGATCGAAATCTCATATCAGATTGTAGTACACAAATGTTTTTTAGAAAATTGCTTGTATTCAGAAATCTGCATGTACTAATTACGGTAAAAAATTAATTTTGAAAGGCAATTGCTGTACAGAAGTGTTTTTAATGTTAACCGAATTTCAGTATCATTTTTACGAAGTATTATTTGAGTCAGTCATTTGAACATTAATTAGTGGAATCACCAAGGAAAACTTGAATCTCACAGAATCCACAACTGTTATAGAAGTCGTTCATAACGTTTTCTCTATAAGTGACAAAAATCACAATACCAGGGTTAAGGAATTTCGACTGACTTCAATCACTCAATTTAAAATGGTATAATGTTGATCCATTTCAAGATGCGGTAGGTTATATAGACTTAATTTACAGTCTAGACTAACAGTGATTCTTTATTGATACTTATTATTATTAGTCCCTTGGTTCCTAATGGAACATAGGGCTTCAGTAGCACGTCTTCACTCCACTCTGTTCTCTGAAATATTTTGAACCTGGCTCCACGACAGCCCACAACCTCTCATTTCCTCCTCACACGATCTCCTCCATGTCACCCTCACCTCGGACGCTCAACTCGTCGCTTCCCATGGGGATTCCACTCGACAGCCTGACCTGACGCGTGATGTCCCCAGTCATCCTTCTCAGTGTATGCCCAATCCATCTCCACTTCCTTCCAGTGCATATTTGTTGGGTAATAGCTTCTTGGTTGGTTCGTTGCCAGCCATCCACCCAGAGTTCCTTGTTGCTTATTCTTTCTGGCCTTCTGATGTTAGCTTGAGTAACGAGGCAGGGTAGAGTTGTTGATGAATGTCTGTAGTTTGTTGGAAATGCCTTTCGTAACGTGCCAAGTCTGTGAACCATACCGGAGCACTGACTTGACTGAATTGGTGTTGAAAATCCGAATCTTGTTCTTTATGCTGAGTGCAGTTCAGTAGATCTCCCTACTGATTTCAGGCTAATGAACGCTTGTCTTGCTTTTCCGATTCTGGGTGACCGGAGTAGATTATTGATTCTTCAGTTGACAGTTTGGAGATCCCACTTCTATTCCATCTGCTTTCGCAACTTCCAAGCACTTCAATGTGATACCTCCTCATCTCGTTTGCGATCTAGGCTGCCTTGCTGGGTTCAAACATGGTGCGGACATTCCATGTCTTCACGTTTACTCTCCGATTCCAGCGAGGAATAATTTTGTTATTATTTTTTATATTTCGTTTGTGCTTTGAAGTTTGTTTAGCGGTTAGATTTGTTTTCTGGGGTAGGGTTGCTAGCCCTATGCTCAACCTTCCCTGTTTATCTCGGCTTATGACCGGCTACTAACTAGTGAACTAGTTAACCAGGTGAAGTTAATTTCTCGATGTTTCTGTTCCATGGCAATACGATAGAAGTTTTTGATAATGCATATTGAGGTTTCTGGAATAAAAAAATTACTCAGTCGACATCTGAAATACCGATTGATATTGAGTATTTAAGCAGTCAACCAATAGTTTTTTTCTTTTCTTGTTTGTTACTACTGCAATCATTCACAAATGCGGGCTTGATTCTTAGACGGACTTCAGTTCTACAAGGTTTGCGTATACGCCTTGCCGCAGAATTCCTGCCGATTACATCCATGCAACTAACAATCATTTATTCTATTTTTGTATATGTTGTGTATCCTGCTATAAATTTCCTAACTAATTGATTTATTTTTCATTTCAGTTGGTGTAAAGTATATTTTGATTGATCGATTTGTTTTCTGTTTTTCTCTCTGTATAGAAAGAGCTAGAAAGAGTTGGTGGTGTACGTGCATTAGCTTGGTTGATTGAAAATCGTCAAGTTTACGGGACAACAACAGACTCCTTTAAAAATTTAAATTATAGAGTATCGAATGATTCTAATAGTTATAATCTGAATGGTACCGAATATGATGATCTACATCAAGCAGTCAAATCAATTTTAGAAAATGCAGCTTCTGTACTCTGTAATTTAGCATCAGTCAGTTGTTTAAAACGAAGTGTCTTACAAGAAGCCTTAATTCCAAGTTTGTTAAATGTTATTGTTGTACCAGCTGCTGCAGAAAGTTCTGCTTATGGATCAAATGATAATGGAGCTCAATCAATTATTAACAGTATACTCTTTCGAATTGTTATGTCATTAATTCGGTGAGTAAATTATTAAGAATACTGGTTAGTGATACAGTTTAAAATTTATAAATGACTGATAAGTGTCTGAAGAAGCCTTGCAAATGACTACTAGGGAAAAACTGAGGTTTTAGATCTCTTCAAATTATAACTTGATGATATGATTTCACCGAAATGTTTTCCTGGCAAATGCAGTGAATAGATTTGGCATTTTCATCGAACTCATAAAGTTGACGTCATTATTCAGTGAAAGTTGTCAAAATATTTATAGTCAGTTGAAGATAATTTATTTTTGTTTTTACCAAAGCAGTCAGAGAACAGGTTACTCAAAAGCCACTTCCATAATTGAAGTCTTATCTTTATCTTCATCTAACATTAGTGTAACTCGGATGGAAAATGTCTAGCTGGTTCTATGATTCGAAAAGTCTTACATCTCTATGCATTCAGACTAGACAAAAGAATTTGGTTACTGACCAGTGACCGACCAATGTAGGTTATCTAGTCCTACAGAAGGTCATTTACGGCCTGAAGAGTTCAGTAGTAGCGTTCGAGTCTCAGGCGGAACATCAATTCTGTCAAGGTTGCCTTACTGATGAGTGCCGAAAAGCACGAAACCTAGTCAAAGAACTCCTTGCTGAATACCACCGTGGAACTAACATCCAAATATCCTCACTGTAGTGGGATTTCCTATGTTTCGGGAAAGTCTAACTCACAGGGATTGTATGAATTTCTAACAATATCAAACGTTCAATATAATTTTTATTTAGAAGCTCATATCCCCTCTATTTGCAAAGCAGTGTATACGCTAGTGTTTTCTTCAACATATAATAAAGTATAATTTATGTGGAGAAACTGTCATATCTTATCGTCTCCAACCCCCAACTTTTAAAATGAAAAACGTTTTAGCTCAGAATCTATTCAACTTGCTTTTCACTCGGTTTTTACAAACAAAGAAACGTATCACTAATAAGAATATTTATAATTATATATTTTTGAGGTGAATGAGAATTTTATTTTAGAGGTAGTATTCATCATGGACTGACATCAGTTGGGGGAACCATTGGAAACCTGGGAGCACTGGACAGCTGTTCCATTTTAGTACGCACCTACTACTTGGCTAGGGATTGAACTCAGAACCCGGCGAACACGCTAACCATTCAGCCACTGGGTCCGTCCTCAGTAGTTCGCAGTTTTCAACTTCTGGCAATTCACGATATAGCTCGACTATCACCCACAGTCTTCAGTTACATAGGGTTTTACATTACTGTGTGGTGTTCATTAGTGACTTGCTTCCAGATGGATATCATGAAGCTCTAGTGAGAAGCCATGACCTGTGGGGTCAAGGAGTCGTAAGTGAAGTGAATGCTAACTGAAGACCTTGGATGATAGTCGAGCAATATTGTGAATTGACAGAAGTTGTAAATTGTGAAACACTGAGAACTGACTCAGTGGCCGAATAGTTAATGCATTCGCCGTGAAACCTGATGGTCCTGAATTCAATTCCTACTCAGGTTGTGGGTGCATACTTCTGAGTCCCATACTAGGACGAGACAGCTATCCAATGCTCCCAGGCTTCCAATGGCTCTCCAACTGATGTCAGTCCATGATGAAAACTACCTTTAAATTTATAATTATCTTTAATTTTTTAAGTATACATATACGCTGGACAGTAGAAATAATTTTATTTAAAGGTCTTCACTGCTGTTTGAATCCCATCCACATAGCTTTTCCACTAACTTCTGAATTTAATAAGTTGACACTGTTGTTTATTGTATCTTATATACGTATTTGAAAATATTAAGGCGAAATCTGATGCTTATCATTTCACTTTAAAATCTGTCACTTGATTCTGGTAGAGTCAAAAGTGCATAGTTCTGAAGAGTCTTGAAGGAGTGAACAGAAGCCACCTAGTAACAATGCGTAAATCATTGCCATGTTTTCCTATAATTTAATTCTGATTGCCGTTTCTTAAGGGCTATGGAAAAAACAATTATGTTAGGTGGTTGAAGGCTGTCGGCAGGAGGCTCTGGATTAGCGATTATTGACACTCGTCAGCAACCTCGAGGGGACTAGTATTATCTCACAACTTGAAACTTGAGTCACTCAGTACTGCAGTCATACACTTCATATATATATATATATATATATATATATATATATATAAGTTCATTTTTCGGAAAGCTGATGTTTCTTCTGGAAATATTAGTCAGTTAGTTATGTAATATGTCTTATCAAGAGTAGACAATTAAGTATGGCGGTAGTCATCATTTGGAGAAGCACTGAAACGCTGAGAGAAACGGACAGATGTTTCGACTTAGTATAGTATTTGTTAGCAGTTTGCATATCTGGCCCTTTTGTGATGAACACCTCAAACTCAAAGAAATATGAGACCACAATAAATAATAAAAAAACTAAAGGAAGTTAAAATGATCTCTTTTGATAACTTTGGACTAAATTAAAACCCAATGTATCTTTGAAAAGTAAGAGGTTGTATCCGGCCAGATAGTGTAACCGTAAGACTTGGAATAACGTAACAAGCCGTGAGATAGTAACTTACTATTAGCTATTTAATAATTCAGTAAACATACTTCCCCCATCTTAACTCGGAAATGTTTTGGATTTATGATACTGCTAGACTGTTGGGACCATAAAAAGTTAAGTGCATTCAAATCTTTCGAGTAGTGACCACTAGTTGAATGTCTAAGTCATACATCCACAGTAACACCATTTATGTCCAGCTGTATTTCAGTCCTATGCTGTTTAACTTCAGGCTTTCAGTTTGCATACCTTATCTCTTAATCTACCATATTGCGAACTCAAGTTAGTTTTTAGATTCTAATCTGGCTACTGTAATGACTTTTTCTACAATTTTAGAAACATAAGTAGTTCTGAAGATGATGATGTCAGAGAACAAATGCGTCAGTGTCCTCAGCTTGCATCCAGCTTATACAGTGTACTGCGCTTTGCAGTTGACAATCAATTACATGATAAACGATCCATAGAACATTGTGTTTGTACAATCCGTAATTTGTGCTATGGCTTACAACAGCAGCACCAACACCAACATCAGCAGCAGCGCCATGGACAAAAGCAATCACAATCTCAACGTTCTGTTACACCGTCAAGTCAAGATAGTACAAATCAACAAACATTCCAAGAGAAGTCACGTAATGGTTCATTGTTCAGAATTAAATCATCTAGTCTTACAAGTGGTAAAAAGTCAAAGAGATCAGTGGAATTCGAAGGTAAATTATGAATGTTGTTTTGATTGGTCATACTAAAATTATCCTTTTCTTCCAATAGAAACATTAAGATGAAAAGTCATTTTCTGATTTCTATTCGTGAATATTTTGTGTGTGATTCAATCAATTACTACGCCCTTTTTAGGTGCATGAAAAAGAAGTGTAAGGGGGAGGAATTGTGATTAATTATAAAGTAACAAGATAGTTGTCAAACTACGTTACATTTAGTGAAATAATTGCTCTTTTAAGAGGCACGATTCAGTAATATGTTCGGACTTAGATAATTGCCCTTTCTTTTGTCATCAAAAATTGTTTCTTCCAGGTTAATATTACACATATAAAGACAAATAAATTAGAAAGGGTGAATCAACAGATAATTCAAACTTTATTAATAAAAGTATATTCATTAGGCATGCAGTGCAACAGAGAAATTTTTAAGCCATACATGAAAATTTATATTATTGCTTGTATTATCCATCCTTACCACAAAATTGAAACGACAGGCATAATCGAGGTATCCGCGAAGGAGGCCATATGCCAATTGAGATCGATTGACTCGGTCTACTCAACGGCGGGATTATATAAGCAACAACATTAAACCTATATCCTTTGGCATAAGAAGTGACTACCGTGACTTATTGGCCTACTGGGTGACGTTCTGGCGCCTAAAGAGATCGGTCCAAGTACCTAGCCTTAGTGGGAATAACATCGCTTACGGGGAGGTGAAATCATCCATCTGACAAGTCCTGACTGAGATGGAACGCACACTAAATATCTAGACATACAGTACAGTACTCAGTTAGTGATTTGCCTTCATTTCCCTTGCTAACATAGTTTGTATAGTATTGTACTCACTTCATACAACCGTTCGCTTTACTTTCAATGAATTTAAATTAAATTTTATCCATCCTTCATATTATTTCCATATTAGTTACAGGCTCATTCTGTATTATGTAATCACCTGTTTTTTTTAATAGAATTCCAAATCAAGTTTGTCTCATCTTTCATTTATTTGTAAAACTTTAAAAATTCCTGCTTTGCGTTTCATAGAATGTTAGTGTTGTTTAATGCATGCTTTCTGTATCATATTCCGGTTGTATCATAAATATAATTAAGTTGAGGCGTTTTAAAGATGTGGTTGTTGTTACCTCTCTTACGTCCAGCAAAGAAAGTGGTTGAAGTTTTTCACAAAAGATTATACTTCCCCATAGTAGGTTCTGTCATTTTACATGGAAGTAAGAAATAACCGTTATAAGTAGAAAATATAAAGTGGTTATGGGGTTTTAATCACAGGTGTCGAATGAGAGTATTCGGTCAGCATATAGGACTAGACAACATGAAGTTGGTTACCGTTTAGCGACCAATCAGTGTATCATAGGTATCTTCATGGAAAATCACACGTTTGCTGTTACAAATGTTAAAGTCAAGCGAAGAGTACTGGACAGGACGGGCAAGTCAAGTAATAAGGTTTTGAACCGCAGTTGTTTGAGATGACTTGCACATATACTGCATATGCCCAACCACTGCCTCCTCCAACGTGCCATGGAAAAAGAAGTTGAATTAGGTTGAAATGGGGTTGAGAGTGGCAAGACGAAGACGACACCAGTTCATGAAGTTCCTGACTGTTAGTCTGAGCAGTGAGCCAAGATCCAGACTACTTGACTAGGGTCCTCAAGATAATAGAAATCGGTGGGTTAGAACTCTTGGTGACATGGCTGGAAATAGGTTACAGTTGCGCAGATGTATTCACTGTTTGACGTCTTCTAAAGCTAGAATATTTGCAATAAGTGTCATCTTCAAATTGTCTATTCCCTCACACAACTTTCTTTACTCTGGTATCAGTCTTTTCCTACCGACTTTTTCTCTGTATACTGCTATGAAGTGTATCAACTTGACCGGATGCAGTTGTGTGCGATGTTCAATGTTGATTTTGTCTGTCCATCAATACTGACATTTCTGTGATTTTTAAGTTTTCAGGATTTAAACAAGTGTGCCTTAGTTAAATATAGAGTATTAATAGAGCAGGTGAAGGACACTGTGGTTTTCGGAATGGAGTCCACTAAAGGGGTTAGAAAATGTTGCCATTATTTTCTAAGGACTAAACAAATTGTGTGGTGTTTGCCAAGCTCTGGATATCATTTGCGTACTGCTTCAACATTTGTCTTTGAAAATTATTTCTGCTCATGAGTAGTATGAATTGTTAGGCTACATTTTCTTTGAACATAATTCCTGTGAACATAGAACATTAAGGTTAGTTTGTGCCGGTAAAAAATGTTAGCGGTTTTATTGGTGAATTATACAGTTAGTTATAAGTGGTATTTAAGACAGAAACGTTTCACCTTTTTGTAATTCAATTGGAATTTTTAAAAGTTATGAGTATTGGTTACTATGCATTCCCTGCTTATCTGTACAAAATGAGTCAACACATTTCTAATCCTGAATAAGGATACTTTAGAACTATGTACCGTAGTATATTTACATGCGAGGTACAAATCACAGGTAAGAGGGTAATCAAAACGTCTTCCAACATTAGCACACCTATTCCATGTATCTTTGTAAGAATATATTTCGTTATAATACCAGAGTAATTCACTTGGTTGTAGCTAACGAAAGAATCCAGTATGTGCGTTTCGTCCTATTTGTGACTCGCTAGCTGGATGTACCTGTACCTCAATGAGTGACGCTGTCCCCACTGAGACTAGAGCCTCGTACCAATAGCCTTAAATGCCAAGGAGCTATCCACTAAGCCACTGAAGAACGATAGCCACGTCTGGTACACTGGTTATTAGTTATAAATTGTTGTTCATGTATTTGTGATTCTCATTTTATTACTGGATCAAACTGTTTGAACTCTACCGGCATATGACCTCCTATGCGAATGCCTCGATACTGCCTGAATATTTATTACGGTAATTTACTTGGTCGGACAATTTGATCTAGTAAAACAACGGAGAATCACAAGTACATGAGCAAAACGTTATAATACTAGGATTCTTACAAAATCAAATAAGATATTTCTGAAGTTTCGCTGTGTTATCTATCCATAGTTTCTTCTATAGAATATTGTTCTCGGCGCTCGACTTCTTCCGGGACATTCGTAAAAACCAAGGTCTGGATGTTTATAACCCATTGTATGTATGCAAACAAATTCGTAAATATCAGGGTTCAATCGTAAGTGGATTGGATTTTATGTAGATTGTTTATGGAAAAACAGCCTCTATTTTGATGGCATTGTGTTCTCTAAGCTGGTTTGTTTGATCGTTGAGCTTTCGTTGTCATTCTAGACATCATATATTATAGGTCGTAATAAGTCGAATGCCTATCTGATTTTATGGCTAAATTCAAGTTCTTTCAGGGTAAATGACCAGCAAAAAGACATGGAATGCAGTTTTCATAAAGACTTCATAATAATCACCAATCGACTGTGTCGGATTGTTTCGGAAAAGTTGATGAATCCATTATGAACCTTCATCGACTAAGATAGCTGAGATATGTGGTCTGCATACCTGGCGACCGTCTGTTTTCGTTGTACAATGTTGGGTGTAGTAGGTTCAGGCTGAAAAAACGTCTCAGGTGACCAGATTGAAAGATGGCATCAATCTACGAGTTCTTTGACTGTTGATATGTGTTATATAAGAAGATTTAGGCTCCACAGTTACGGCCCGTGTGACGACCAAAATCAGTGGTTGGACACTCTATCTGGCCTATCTCAGAACTCATCTCGTTGCTGTAGAAGCATCTACACATTATCTTAATCTTAATCGTCACGCGAAATCACCTCCCCCCTCCCTTTCTACAAGCTTCCGCAACTTTTGATAGTTTTCTGATTTATACCTTTCATAATGGTGCTTTCTGCTTTAGTTTTGCTGATATGAGGTGTGGAAACTTGGATGGTTATGCAGTAATACTAGATCCCATACTAATATTCACTGGCTAACTGATTGACTGGATAAGCTGGTCTGCTATCTTCTCCTTCATGAGGCTGTTAAAGTTATTCTGATATAGTATTTTGTTCGTTTGAGTGGTTTATGGAGAACAGATTAATTTGAAAGTAGCTTCCTTTCGGATTAGCATTTACTGAAGCCACTTTCAAAACCAGAGGACATTGAATAGATTTTTCATTCTCATTTGAGTCAACTTAACAGATTACATTTCTGTTAGTCATGTCTAATACAATTATGTTATCATTTAGCAGTTGACTTGGTCTCATATGGGGTAGTGCTTGTTTACTACCGAGAAGTAGTAAACTTGGACAGAAAACGTTATCTAGGTCTCTTTGATTTCAGAAGCCGTTTTCGCAAATGTCAGTCTATGATGAGACAGTGATAACACCTTTGTTAAGAAATTGGTGGTACAAGAAACGTTTCTGTTTTTCTTTCTGTGATTATTCAACCATATTAGCACATTGAGTCAAATTTAACTGTTTTCAAGTCAAGAAAATTGTATTGTATACTGTCACCTTGAAGTTAACGAGTAAAACTTCTGCGCCATTTAATAACAGACGATTCTTTTCAGTAAAAGAAAGTTATATCATAGATCTTAGCAGTTAATTAAATGCATTACGTGAACAGTAACTGAAATAAGCTGTCTATCCTTCAAATGATATATAACATTTTAAAATAATGAGTATGTACCTGGAATCACAATTAGATATATAAGCATTAGATAAAAGTGATGATTTCAAAACTAAACAACTAAAGCCAAAGATGTTCATTAGCAAGTTGTTTACAAAAGATTTCTTTAGATCTGTGAAAAGTATAAACTGGATCAGTAGTCATCTCAACATTATTATAATTTGTCCTTTGGGTTCCTAATGGAACATAGGGCTTCAGTAGCACGTCTCCACTCCACTCTGTTCTCTGAAATCTTTTGAACCTGGCTCCACGACAGCCCACAACCTCTCATTTCCTCCTCACACGATCTCCTCCATGTCACCCTCACCTCGGACGCTCAACTCGTCGCTTCCCATGGGGATTCCACTCGACAGCCTGACCTGACGCGTGATGTTCCCAGTCATCCTTCTCAGTGTATGCCCAATCCATCTCCACTTCCTTCCAGTGCATATTTGTTGGATGATAGATTCTTGGTTGGTTCGTTGCCAGCCATCCACCCAGAGTTCCTTGTAGCTTATTCTTTCTGGCCTTCTGATGTTAGCTTGAGTAACGAGCTAGCGTAGGCAGTTGTTGATGAATGTCTGTAGTTTGTTGGAAATGCCTTTCGTAACGTGCCAAGTCTGTGAACCATACCGGAGCACTGACTTGACTGAATTGGTGTTGAAAATCCGAATCTTGTTCTTTATGCTGAGTGCAGTTCAGTAGATCTCCACACTGATTTCAGGCTAATGAACACTTGTCTTGCTTTTCTGATCCTGACTTTGACGTCCTCGTCTGTGCCACCACTTGTAGTTGAGACTGTGCTGCCTAGATAGGTGAAGGAGGCTACTTACTTCAGGTTTCTCCCAATGATGGTGATTGGAGCCTGTTGTTGTTGTTGTTGGTTAGGTATTGTCATCACCTCTGTCTTCTCTATATTCACTTGAATGGTGTTCCGTCTTCAATGCCTCTTCTGTCAACTTGTTAGTTTTTGCCCGTAGATCTTCAAGTTTGTGTGACATCAGACACAAGTCATCACTGGCAAAATCCAAGTCTTCTAGATTCTTTTCCCCAGTCCAGCCAGCGTATCCCCCTCTTCTCACAGCTCCCCACTGTTTGCTGCATGATCCAGTCCACCATAACACAATCAGGAATATCATGGGTGATAGTAGGCAACCTTGTTTCACCCCTGTCTTCACTTCAAAAGCATCACTGAGCTTCCCATTGTGAATTGCTTAGCCGGCATGTGGCGTCTTCATATAGTTGTTGAATGAGGCTAATAAAGGTTTGCATGATTCCATAGTATTGAAGCAGCTTCCAAATTACCTCTCGGTCGACGCTGTTAAAGGCCTTCTCAAAGTCGATAAAGTTGAGGTAGAGAGTCGATTGCCGTTATATACTCTGTTGTATGATGATGCGAAGCATTGCAATTTGGTCCTGTTATGATTTGTACTTGTTAGAGGATTCATGTTCACTTGTATTTCTGTAGCTGGGCTGCAGGTGGTATTTCAGGACGAGGTGCAGGTGGTGGTAGTGGTCGATTTAAGAGTCTTTTGAAATGGTCAGCCCATCATTTTCTTTGTTTCTCTTCTTTCGTAATTAAATTTCCGTCATCATCTTTTATGAGCTTCATGTGTATTGATCTCTTCACCACCGAACAGTAACCTGGTTATTTGATATATAGTGTTATCAGGTCTCTCTAAACGGCCTACAGCCTGTTCTGCTTCATATACCAGTGTGTCGTGGAAGTGTCTTTTGTATTTGCGTGCACTCTTCTTCACTTATTTGTCCAGTGTAATATTTTATACATTGTACTCAGTTCCTCTTCTCGTTGTGCATCTTTGTACTGGTTCATCTTCTGTTTCACCATCCTCCTCTTCATGCTCTATCAGCTTCCATGTGTCCGTCGAGATCCATTCCTTATCTTCTTTCTTCTTCCTTCCTAATACGGTTATGCATGTTTCTTTCCACATGGCTTTCAAAGAGTTCCAGTGTTCATCCACACAGGTTTCTTCAGGGATGTTCCTCGATATCTCCCATTTTATCTTGATGGCTGCCGTGAAGATGCCCTTTGTAGTTTCATCTTTCAGTTTCCGAGTGTTGTACTTAGACTGCGGTCTATCACCAGCTTCCTTGAAGGCTTTCAATTTGGTTTGGAAAGTTCCTTGCACTAGATAGTGGTCTGAGCCTACATCTGCTCCTCTTCTTGACCTTGTGTCAAGTAGGCTGCGTCTCCACTCTCTTCACATTTAGATAAAGTCGATCTGATTTTTAGTGTGTCCTGGTGTCTGGTGAAATCAACTACATGTCACTTTGTGGATATCCTTGTGCTTGAACACACTGCCTCACCTCCAATCACCAAATCGTTGAATGCACACAATTCTGCAAACAATTCTCCATTCTCGTTCATCACCTCACCGAGCGCTTCTCGACCCATGGTTAGTTCTCTTCCTGTGTTGTTCTCTCCCAGTTTTGCATTCATGTCGCCCCACCCATTAGAATTTTCTCTTGCTCTGCATTACTTGTAGGTGCGTAGCATTGTATGATTGTGACTTTCCTTCCTTTTGAGTTGAACCTTGCTGTCATGATCCTGCAAGAGGAGATTGGTTCCCACTGCACGAGAGCCTTCAATGCGCTTGGGGACATCATGATAGCAACTCCATGATTCAGTGTGCTCGTGGTTGTCGTCTAGGTGACAATATAGGAGTATATTATTGATTCTCCAGTTGACAGTTTGGAGAGTCCACTCCATTCCATCTACTTTCGCAAATTCCAAGCACTTCAATGTGATACCTCCTCATCTCGTTTGCAATCTAGGCTGCCTTGCTGGGTTCAAACATCGTGCGGACATTCCATGTCCCCGTGTTTACTTTCGCTTTCATCGAGGGAGAGAAGACACATCGGCCCGGCCAATTGACTTCTCGAAGGCAGGCTTTCAGCAACCGGTGTCATTTCGCCTCTCGGATTGCAGCGAGGAATAATTTTGTTTTTATTTTTTATATTTTGAGTGTGCTCTGAAGTTTGTTTAGCGGTTAGATTTGTTTTCTGGGGTAGGGTTGCTAGCCGTCTTCCCAAGCTTCCTTCTTTACCCGGGCTTATGACCAGCTATTTACTAGTGAGGTAGTTAATTAGGCGAGGTTCATCTCAACATATTATATTGTATGGATTGGCACCGAGTTACTACTATGATGGAAATATCTAGAAAATATTGTTTATATTGGTTATTTTTGTAATTTCATGTTATGTCCGATGTAGATAATTTTATAAGACAGTAGAATACCAAGCTTCTTAGTTCCAGCAACTAAGGAGGCCAGATTAATTATGTATAGTGGATAGCAATGGGACACACGACGTGGGTTTTGGCCTATTTGGGACTTAGTTTGATGTGCTTGCCTTACAGTGAGCATTTTTTCCCCTACTAGGTCTCATGCTTGATGGCAACTTCTTCAAATGTCAGAGCGTTATCTGCTAGGTGGTCGGCCCTGAGTTCGAGTCTTAGTTGAGACAACATCGCTTACTGGGAGGCAGGTACATCCAGCTGACGAGTCCCAAATAAGATAAAACGTGCATCTTGGCTTCCTTTGCTATCCTTCATTCATCATCAATCCAAAATTGAAACTACAGGGAATGTCGAGGGATCAGCACAAAAGCCCATGTGTAAATAGATACCGATGAAATTTGGTCCAATCAACGACTGGAGAATACAAGTAACAGCAGTGACTAAAGATGCCCGCTAATAAGCGTGTATTTTATCAGACAATAATTACCGAAGAGAATGAAAACATGTGATTCAGTTAAGAGAGACTTTTCGACTATTTGTTCACTAAGCTGTACAATGGCATTAACATAAAATTTTTGGTGACAATATACAGTTTATTTTACGAATGAAAACGGTTGGTTAAGCAAGATAACAAATATTATTTTGCTTTTAAAAAAATCAAAATTTTAATGAATGTTGAAAATTAATCAAAACTCATGGTAACAAGAGAAATTAAATTGTCATGACCTAAAAATGCTTTTGCATCTGAACGGCTACAGCTTCAGCAGTATAAAGGAGGCGGACATTCATTGACTTTGAGAATTTTCTTTTGATTTTGTGAAGAACTTTGAAAAAGATATTTGTTGAGATTGAATGACTAATGTCAACAAGGTGTGGCATTGTCGGACTTCCTATAGGATCTACTACTAGCTGTTTGTATCCTAGCAGGATAGTACTTTCAAATCCTTTTGGACAAGACGCTAGTCAAACGACTGGCCTACCCAGCTACGCAAGAGAAGATGAGGTGACAGACACACATAAACATTGGCAGATGGTAAATTTTGTCTTTTAGGTTATTGTTAAATAAGAGGTGGCTAGAAAATACTAATCTGAGAATTGCTTCAAAAAATGTTCTCTTCGGAGGTTTTGAAATCCATTTCTTTAGGATGTGTTAGCAGGTAGATCATCTTTGAAGTCAAGTTTCATACGTAGAATATTTTTCGACTGGGAAAATAAGTCATATTTTGGCGGTTATAACCTGACATTTTGTATCGATAAATCGAGATAGATATTCGTCTGCGACCAAACTTTATCGTAAAATATTTACCTCCACATCTATAGTATCTAGGCTGGAAATGAAAGAAGACAGGAAGACAAAAATTTCTAGTCATTATGACATTTTAATGTAATGAATCCGTTTGTATTTTATTCATAGTCTTCTAAAATCTTGTAAGCCAATAATTAAGTTAACATTTTTATGCCTTTTTCAGCTAAATCCGATTCATCATCAACATCAGCGATGAATCATTCAAAAACTGAGAGTATACCTTCACCATATGGTGATATGGAATCAATTAAAATACTAATCAGTTTGTTACAGTATAGTTCAAATCCATATACACTTGAAGCTGCAGCTGGATCATTACAGAATTTAACAGCAGGGAATGGATATTCAAGTGAATACATGCGAGAAATTGTAAGTCATCATTTTGTTTTATTGGATCATAACTTAGATGAATATTCTTCTTTGTATAGGATGTATTTTTACTTGTGTAATCCCGGCGTAGTACATTAGAACAAATAACAAAATAAACAAATATTTTCTGTTATTCATCAAGGTGGGATTACGCAAGTAAAAATACAACTTATACAATGAATCATACTAACTCGGTGCCCAAGTTTTCTCAAACCATCCAGTTCATTGTTGGTTAGGATACCTTCAGAATAGTCTTCTGTTAGCTTTTCTTTTAATGTAATGTGATTTCTTAATGGATTTCTCTTAGATTTATTCGTTAGTAAAGATTTAATCCAAGTTTCAGATTTCTATCTTAAGATAATTTTTTCTATTATCTCAATATAAATGACTGTTATTCTTCTTGTGTTACATCCTTATGTTGATGAGACAATTTCTTATATTCAATCTGGATTAGCAGTTGAAGATTATTTTTAAGGTCATTTCAGATGACCCTGAAAACTTAAAATATTATCTAATGAAACTTTGTATGTAAGTAATAACTTCTGTTCAGGAGATTAATGCATTGTACATTTCTAATATCCTCAAGCAGTTCTTTCTAAAAATATGACCTAAAGTGTACATTATATAAAGGAGGAAATTTCTCCAAATTTTTAAAGAGAAGGCAGTTAATTTGAAAATAACCGGAAGATGGTTTCATTAATGTAAGGATAAAATTTGGTCACTGTAGTAGATTGTTTATTTAACATAGCGGAGATTGGTACAGTATTATTTACTGAATGATATTTCAGGCAGAATTTCTTGCTCTCATTCATATCAAAGTAATCAAATAACATTCAAACTTTCTTAATATAATCCAACAGTTCTTCACTTGTTTAGTTTAATGGCAGTGGAAATTTTCAGAAATCTGTAATATTGTGGTAAGCTATTCTCGTTACATTTATTAGATGTTAATTCAATGAACAAAAATTCTATGACTGACCTCTCCTTCCATCCAGCTAAAACTGCATTTTAGAATTGATGCTGGTACATGTTATCTTAAATTTTGCTTAAAAATATTTACTGCCCAGTTGAAATAATGTTTCTACAGTTCAATAGAATTTCTTCTCCACAATTAAAAAGATTGCAAAAAGAAAACGAAAAACTGCACAAATAGAAAGGATGATGCTAAAGTTAAACGATCTGTCTGATTAACTCTGAAATAAAATGCTTAAACTTAATGTATAACCAGAAGATTGTCATATCAAAACCTTTCTAGTATTTGGAGACATTTTAATGATTTTATTGGGAAGGAAAAAAACCTGCAGAAACATCTGTACCCTAAACGAGTTATTTATACATAAACCTGATAATGTTATCTTATCTAGTTCTTCATGTATAACACAATGGAGTTTCCTTAAATTCAATGAAACAGATGTGTTCAAATGTTCAAAATCATTAAAACCTTAGCAAAGCTTCGGACCAGATGGCATGCCAGGTATTCTTTTTACGAAATTTGCTGATATTCTATGCCATTGTAAGAAACGACAAATATTGAGATGCAGGACAGAATGTTCATTATGAGATCACGTACAGTACTGATGAAATGTACACCTCTCATTAAAATAGTCATTTTGCACAGTGTGTTTCATTTCCTCTTCTGCTTCTGTCTCAACTTGTTATTAATACGCCCACATTATCTCTTGCGTTTTTCTGGGCAGAATATTTACCCATCGCTCGTAATTGCCTATGATTTCTGACGACCTTTCAGCATTCTTATCAGTAGCATCCACCACATCATCCACTCGTAAGCATTTTTGACGAGTCCTTTGCCGGAAATGACTTACTAACCTACCAGAAGGAAATTAAAATAGTTCCGGCACCAAAATTGATATTTTCTGGAGCAAAAGTGAAGTTCCAGCCGATCGCAGTAACTTCTCCTTTGCTAAAAACAATGGGAATACTGTTAGTTCACGAGCTTGAATCTGCTTTGGAGACTATCAGAGATCCAAATCAATCTATCTACCTACCTAGAACAAGCACCTTAGATGCTGCAGTTGTTTTACAACATAATATAATTGCCAGTCTAGACAAAGGTGATGAGTATGTTGAATCTGCATTCTAAGATTAAAATTCTGTCTTTGACTTGGTCCTTAGACCCTCTTCTTAAACATACTTGCCAGTACTCACATTGAGTCCTGGATTATAAACTGGCTTGATTTTATGTTTTTCTGAGAGAAGATAGTGAACTCTATTCAGAGAAAAGCGCCTTACTTGTCTGCTTCATGAACTTGATGTGCCTCATGTTACTATTCTTTGTTCCTTCCTTTTCTCTTTCTTTTTGTATGACTTACCAACCTCAACTAAACCTGAGTTTGTTAAGTACGCTGCCAACCTGATAGTATCCATGCCTATCATCTCTTCAAATTTTGAAGGCTGTTAGTAGAGCAAGTGGTATACTACTAACAGTGCTGTTAAATACGGTCGTGGATAGGCGTCTGAACTCTTGTAGACTGCTGGCTAAAAAATACTTTGTCTGATGACAAGCATCGTTTGCATCCGCACCTCTTTCCAAGTCTGTCGTATGGGAAGATAAGATGCAAATACATAAAACTTTGTGCACGCACGACTACACACAAAAATTCAACTAAACCTTATTTAGATTGTGTATTGAGTGAATAAAATCGTGTTAGACTTATCAATCAGTCTTATCAATTAAATTTACAATAGCGAACAGTTATCACGTCCCTGAAGTCATTAAACATTTCAACAATCATGTTCTTCTTTACCATATGTTGTCAAACAGCACAATTTCAAATATATATTTCAAAAATGTTATACAATGTGTTGACTGATACAATATCATTTACTGAGAGTTCTGAACCGTAAGCATAATTGTGGTTCGGAACAAAGCAAATATATTATTATTTTTTTTACCATATCACACCCTATTGTAAGATTATGGGTCAGTGCATGCAGAGCGATAGCAGAATTTTTCTCTAAATTACTTACCTTAGTAAGGTCTGCCGTTACATCTTTCGCTAAATTTTTGTGCTTAGCTATTTTGCCTGACCCAGGTCGGCTACTCTAACTTGTACACTTGACCTCAAAATCATTACTTGGTATTTGACAGAATAGGATATTTTTCCTAATTGGCTGCACTGGATATTTTGGTCAACAAAGTTTCTCTCTGAGTGAGTTCGTGGGCTTAAATGCTACCCTGATACGAGCACTGTTAAGAATTGTAAGTAAAATTTCCTATATACCTTCCTTATATGGCACTACACTGCAAAGGATTTGAATTCACCCTTAGAGACATTGTAGTCACTGATAGCATTACCACTCCTTCTCTTATCAGTCTATGTAAACGTTTTAGGAAATTCCGGAGGGTAATTATTGGGGAGTGGTATCTCTTTGATGTGTTTCATTTCCTGATTTAGGTTTTCTTACTGATAAAAGGCCAAGCCCTATTACTTAGACATTTACCAGTCCCACCTTGAGAAATATGGTGTGAAATGTCGTGAAATCCAGGTGTTTGTTCGAATGTGTTGGTTTCCTATAAATACTGGTATCTAAACTTCTATCTTCTCTCCTCTTGATTTTGTGGTCCAACACAGTTAATTATCTTTTATTTTCTAATTCATAAGCGAATTGTATTGGATCTGCTATCGAGTCAATACGTACAAAACTTTGTACATGTTATGATTTTAACACAGTAAATATGTCACCTGGATATCGCCATTATACTTCTGGGGTGGGTTGGAATGCTTCTAGTGTTGTTTGTTCCCAACTGTCCATGAATATATCTTCTACGATCGGAGATATTGGAGATCCAGTTGCTAATCCTTCTATTTTTTGATATACGTTTTGTTGAAATTTGAAAACCTTAGAAGTAAACACAGTCGTATCTCTAGCCTAATTTCTTTAATAGATGGTATCATGATGTGATTTCTTTTTTGACTGTCAGTTACCAAATATGTAAATTTGAAAACTATTGCATAGTTCTGGAATTACGAAGGTTGATCGGTGTTAAATGATGGGAGTCAATTGGTTAAAAACCCTTCACTTAGTTTCATAATTGTTGGAATTCATCAGCAAGGTGTTTTACCAACCATGAGACCGCTTCAAGTTTTGGAATTTCGCTTTTAAGCATGGTAGCGTGACACCTCACTGTCAGGTTTTAAACTTCAGTGTGGAGTAAGTCATGTATCTGATTCGTGGACTTTGATCAATGCTAAGCACCAAGGACTAGATAGCTAAATAAGTTACCTACTGGTGACCAGTTCGTGTGGAGTTTCTTAGATATTAACATAAGTGTAAAACTTGGGTACTTTTGTAGAATCTAATTGCGTATTAGATTTTCTTTATTTAATACAGTACAGATTAATGGAGTATAATTTACTGGTAAATAGATAATCGATTGGAAGTTCTTTCGCAAGTAAATGGAAAGGAACCATTTAAAATCATCCATTTGTAGGGAGTGATGTTTTTAGTTATTGATAGACTGAACCAAATGATATGAGGAATAAGGGGTTATGGGTTGTTGATTTCAGTAGTCACTTTTTATGATTGAAATACTTTTTGAGGTGAATAGGGATTTTCATTTTGAGGTAGTATTCATCAAGGACTGACATCAGTCAAAGAAAGATTAGAAATCTGGGAGCACTGAGTAGCTGCATCGTTCTAGCATGCTACTTCTTTGTAGTTCGCACCAACAACTCAGGTAGGGATCGAACTCAGGACCTTTTAGGTTCCACAGGGAACGCGTTAACTATCCAGCAACTGGGTCGGAGTCTAGTGGTTCATATTTTCTAGCTTCTGTTGTCGGTGCGTACTGATGAGGAGTAACACACTAGGAAAGATTTCATAGATTTCGAGATCAAAATTTCATCTGACAGATTTGAATTAGTTGAGCATTGAGTAAATAGATTAGTGCTCACCGGTGACTCGTTTCTAAAGGGGATTCTCGAAGCTCTAATGAGAAGTCGTGACCATTGAATCCAACCAATTTGGATACGAGGACA